ACGGTACTACGCACTAAGCTTAACTACTAGGAAACTGCTAAATACACCGTTGAAATACTTGTGGGAACCATCTTGCCTGCCAAAGTAGTTGTACGCCTGTCTATCCAGTTCTGAGATTTACACAGCTCAGCCACACAGCACAGGCAGATTGAAGACCTGGATATTTACTACTACAGTTTAGCTATTCAGCTTAGTCACTTCTTCCCCCAGCCTGTTATTGTACAATGAAGAAGAAGCAGGAGAGTTCTGATTGCTGTGCTTCTACTCTCTGTGCTCTCTCTGTCAGCATAATTCCAATGCGCATAATTGCATGCAGCATACCTGATTAATGCCTAATGCTGCCCTGCTCCCCTCCCAGTCTGCCTTCTACTGTACAGTTTGATACCAAGTCAAATTTAGGTACTTAAACCAGTAGCATGAAAAACAATTTCATTAAATTTTAATGGACAGGAATACATTCATTGGAGTTTTTTGTCTCTCTGGAATGTAATCTTTAAACCTCAAGTCTGTTTTGTAACCATTGTAAAGGAAACCTGTTCCGAGAGAGATCAGCTGCCATTAATAACTCCTCCTTCAGAAACCTCTTAATTTTCCTGTCCGTCATACTCATGCTAAGGGCTGCATACTTTTTTTTCTGAGTTCTAAAGTATGAAGATAAAGAGTTCTGACGGACATTGATTTCACTTGCTGCATACTTTTTCTAATTGAAGTAATAAGTTAGGTCTATCAGCATGACAGACATGTAACTACCATTTTCAGATACATTTTTGAAACCCGCTCCCCTATTTCTGTCAGAAAAGGGTTCCTTTCAAGAGTCTCTACTTTGTGATGGTGCCCCAACTATCCGCTTTATGGTCCAAGTACTTTTTTATTGTTTAAAATGCTTCTTTTATATCTGAGGTAAAACTTGAACTTTTATAGGTGGAACCTTTTGGTTGGCTTGTTGTGCATCATTTATTGTATTCATACATCACAGACCTCTTTTCTTTTTCTAAAAGCTCCTTCCAGATGTGTTGTCATGCAATTTGTTGATTTCTCCGGTAGACCTCAGTCAGTCCCTTTTTTGTAAAGAGCCTGTCCCCACCATTGTGTTGCATTGGAAAAGGTCAATGTGTGCTGCATTTCGTGTGTGTTGACCTGAAGTTTGCCACCCATACCAGTCCAAAAGGATTCTTTGAGAGATGCAGTGCATAACACAATACACATAAACCCGTACATCCTGGAAAAACAAACCCTGAATGGTTATATTAGCTTGTTTGCTCTAAATTGGTTTTCAACCTCTTTTGGAAAAAAAAATCCATAGTTGTAGCCAATGCTGTTTGTTTTATGTTTTAAAGCAGATGAAAGAAATGAAAAGATGCTGTGAACACATCTAAAGGCACAGTTCACATCTTTGTGTCTTAGGAACGCACCTCACTGCATGAAGGCTGCATTTTTTGCTAATGGTGTGTGTGTGTTGGGGTGCTATCATAAATGAATGGCACTGCAGTGCACCAACAAATGCATGTAAACAAGCCTTTTTGTGCAGTGTTTTGTGTGCATTAAATGTATTCCAGCAAATGCATCTCCCTTAAAGATCAATATGATTTGATGTAAACACACAAAGTGCACCTCAACCAATAAAAATGACCAAGGTAATGTGAATCTGTCAGCCATTTTAACACTCTCTCTGGATACCACAATGTATGTGCTCTTGTATTGCCAGAGGACCCTCTTCTGTGCACATTTTATATTCGCAGCTTCACTTATTTACTGAGAGCTTTAGGGCTCATGTACACGGGACGTTTTGGAAAACACTTCTGAACGATGGAAACTGCTGGAAAACGTAGGTTAAAAAACGTCTGTTTAGCTGCGTTTGCATACCGCGTTTATGCGTGTTTGCGTTTAGAAAGGCTTTTTTTTAAAGATAACATCAGGAGACCTTCCCAAATGCCCAGAATGCACTGAAAAACAATAAAAAATTAACCATTTCAGACATTTTGAGAGAAATAGAGCAGAAGCAGAGAGAGCAGTGTGTGTTTAGATGACCTGTCTTTTCTGGTTGTATTCACTATGGATCCCATCATGAGCGCAATGCAGCACGTTCTATAATTTTTTCCTTCACGCAAAACCTGGACCTGACTGCGCTGGTGTGCTAGGTCCATTTGAATACATGGAAAATGCTTTGCATGCATTTCTGATGATGAAAAAAGGCTCTGGACAGCATTTGGATATGGAACAATTAATAAACGCTTCTAAACGCAAATGTTTACAAGCTATGGTGTTTGAAACGCTGATAAAATCTGCTCCTGAACACAAGTTTGGTGCATTCAAAAAAACGACTGTAAACTCAACTGCCTGTAAATGACGATGTGTACGTGGACACATAGGAAAACATGAGGGAGAGTTCAGGGGCTGCTGAAAAAAAAACAGCAGAAAAGCTCCTGAACGTGAGTTTATCAGCTGCAGTGTACATGAGCCCTTATTCCTTCAACTTTAAGGCCCACCTCTCTTTCCCATTGATGGGCACTTTGTGGGTAATAAGAGTACAGTCATTGCATAGGGCACAAGTAAGTCGAGACCTTACAGAAGAACAGAGTAACACCTATATAATTGGGGTAGAAGAAGACCTTTAAAGCAGGACTTTTTAACCTTTAACAATACACACTGGATACTAGTAGGTGTGATTTTTCAGTCTCCTTCTCCATACATTAGATTGGAATTTATTTGTACTTATTTTTTGCATTACTGGATAAAGTTTGTAATGTCTTTGAGGACTTTATGAATCAAGAGACCCTCCTACCCCCAAACAATGAAACTGGAATTTTAGATGGAAAGTGTGTGTATGTACAATAATCTGTTTAGTGGTCAGAGGGTGATATCCAGTCATTATGTTGTTGCTAGATTTAAGAGGTATTACTACTTTACGGAATGAGACACATACATCTTAAAGCACGACTCCAGTCAAAATGTATTCTTTAAGTTTTGGATAGACTTTGGAAGAGTAAATACTTGTGTGTTTTCTTTTTTTGTTTTTTTTAAACTGCCTGTCTGTCCCCATTAGGGACTTCTGTCCCTGTGACAATAGGATAAGAAATGAGGTGAGTAGTGTCCATAAAAACCTAAAAAAAAAAAAAAAAGTTTTATTACAGTGTGTGTCACTACGGGAGAGAATTCCCATCACTCACTGTCTGTCAGAAAATAAAAGGAAATCTCTCCAGTGAGCACCATTAAAAGCCTTAAAGGGATCCTATCTATACTCCCTCACAATCCAAAAGTTTAAAAAAAAAAAAAGGCAAAATTACCTGGAATTGGGCTTTAACTTTATATAGCAACAATGTAGACCTTGTTGATTGGAAAAGAAAGATTTTTCCAGCTTTGTGTGCTGACCATCAAAAGATGCACAAAAGAATGTCTCTTAACAGTATTTTATTAATATACAGGCACACTCCTTACATTTATTTATATGCAGAGGGCCTTGACATATTTTGCTTGCTGTGGTGCCTAAAACTGAACTCCAGTCAAATATCTAAATACACAGATCAGCCGATTTATCTGCCAAAGGATTTTCATTTCTGTCCTTTCAGTCCTGCAATATACACTGCTACACAGAACAGCCCTGTTTGGCAGGGAAGGAGACCTGATCTTTCTGTGCTGCAGTTCACCTTTTACTTACAGGTCTCTTCTCCACCTCACCTTGTGATTGGACAGTGAGAAAGGAGGAGCAGCAGACTCACAAGTTCATCACGCTTGTACTCTGCTCTCTCTTTCTGTCCGCATATTACTTGAACTGCAACATGCCTAAATGGTATCTTGTACTGATTCTCCCTCTCTTCTGTACAGGTACTGCAAGAGGTTCCAGTATTCATGACTTAAATATGCAGAATTTATTTTTCAATATGTTTAGCCCAGAAGAAAGCAGCATTCTGCATAATGATAATTCAGGTTTATTTACATTCCCTACCTACAGTGACCAACTTAAACTCAGGCTTTAAATTTCAAAGTAGATTTCAGGGGTTTTTTTTGGATTAGTACTAGTCAGTGGAATAGTGGCAATTGGCTTTGTCTTTGCAAGGAAAGCTTATATCTGCTGAAGGTCCTAGGTTCTCCCATTAAACTGACTACAAGAAGACATTCAAGTAGTGGTCAAAACTAAAGCAGGGCAGAATCTCCTTAAATGATTTTAATGCTTTATATTATCTAGCAATTTATGTTGGGAGCGAAGTGGTCACACATAATGCTCTTTGTTGGTAAATCTAATCTTTATGTAGCTGGTACCAGGGGCGGACTGACCATTTTGGAAACTCGGGCAGTGCCCGAGGGCCCGGGGTCAGTAGGGGGCCCCATGAGATACCCCTGGTACCTTTTTCATAGGCTTTTTTGAGTTTGGGCAAGGACACAGGGGCCCCATGATCCCCTATTGCCCAGGGGCCCCATGAGTTGTCAGTCCGCCCCTGGCTGGTACTACAAAGGTCTGACAGATCTAAAGGATGTTGACTGTGTATTGCCAGTTTAAAGCCCAACTCCTGGTTTCTTGTGACACCAAGCTGGTCCAAAGAACGATTTGCTTCACTAACAGGTGCGCCTGTTGGGAGCGCTGTATAAACAGTATGTGGCATCAGCTACATACAATATACAGTGCTGTGTTGCGGCAGTGAGATGGGGACTTTTCCATTCTCAGAACAAAATCACGTTTCTCAGGATTCATTGTATTTCATTAATATGTCTAAAGGTGGAGATTGTAATCTTGCCTATCTGCTCTTCCACCTCAACCAATCAGAGGAAGCCCTGTATTCTTTGTTCCTGCTACCGGAACACAATGATGTGTACTGTATGTAGCTTATGCTACATACAGTTTAACCACATCCCCACCGCCCTATAGCAGATATACAGCTACAGGGTGGCACGATCACATATATATGTGATTTTGTATTTCCGGGTAGGGGGCACGCTGTGATTACCGAGGATCTCCGACGGGCAGGAGAACTGCTTTGTTTACTAACCGTCCTCCTCGCTGTCAGCTCGGGCACAGTGCTCTGGATGGCAGTGTGTTTGCAGTGAAGCACCCACAACCCCCCCCCCTTGTAAAACACTCCCAGCACACAGTTAACCCTTTGATCACCCCTCATGTTAACCCCTTCCTGCCCAGTGTCATCAGTACAGTGTCAGTGCTTTTTTTTTAGCACTGATCACTGTATTCGTGTCACTGGGGATGTCAGTGACACCAAGTCAGTTCCCCCCAGTGTCAGAATGCCTGCTGCAGTCCCGCTATAAGTCGCTGATCGCTGCCATTACTAGTAAAAAAAAATGTTTCCAGTATATATACACCACCATTTGTAAACACTATAACTTTCACGTAAACCAATTAATTTACACGTGTTGGGATTTTTTTTTTTTTTTAGCAAAGACATGTACAATACATTTTGGCCTAAAGTTATGACGAAATTTAATTTTTAATTTTTTTTTTTACTAGACATGTTTAATAGCACAAAGTCAAAAATATTGTTTGTTCTCAAAATTGTCAGTCTTTTTTTTTTTTTTTTTATAACGCAAAAAATAAAACCGCACAGGCAATCAAATACCACTGAAAGAAAGCTCTATTTGTTGTAAAAAAAAAGGACCTACATTTAATTTGGGTGCAGTGTTACATGACCGCACAATTGTCCGTTAAAGTAACGTAGCACCGTAAAGCAAAAAGTGGCCTGGTCAGGAAGGGGGGTAAATCCTCAGGAGGGCAAGGGGTTAAACAGCACCCCCAGCAGGCATATATGATAGTGAAGCGTCACAAGAAACCTGGAGTTAAGCTGGCCCTACACGTATAGATTTTCGTTCGAGAATTTTTGTTTCAAGAATATTCATTTGATTTTCTAATTGTTAGTGGGGTCAAATCAATGTTTGTTTTTGACAGCAGTGGCAGGAAATTTTGAGGGGGCAGGAAGAAAAACCTTTCTTGATCAAACAAATTTTCAGCCAGTGTATGTGTTTATCGTTCAGAAATTACATTAGCTTTAAAATCGAATCTTAAAAGCAGAAGACGTTTTTCGAACAACATTCGTCCATTCATCAAATTTTCGTACGACTTTTCTTACGAATATTCTCGCCTGAAAATCTACACGTGTATGGCCAGCTTTAGGCTTTAAGAGCAAGCAATAACTAGGTCTGCCATGTGCCACTTTATATAAGGCATTTAAAAATTTTTTTGATATCTGTATTCTGTAGTGATGATCTGTGTGGGAAACTGCACCATAAGGGGATATATTTACAGATTATTGGTTACTTCGTATAGTTTATTGGGATTATATTTGCACTTAGAGGATTTAGGGATGGTGTTCTGTAAAGAAGGTTGGTGATGTTTCTCATGTCTGGTACATTTTCTAGCTCCAGGTTCCTCTCTGTTGCTTGTTCCCTTAGGTAAGTAGTGTTACAGGATATCACTTCATGTGACTGCTAACCTAGGAAGGAAAAGGTTTAATATCTTAAATTTAAAACTCCTGAAACTGTAACCATGAAATAAAACAACCATTGGTTATCTAAATACCCCAGCATATTGTGTGACGCAAAATTCTATATACCCAACATCTACTCATAGAAGTATTTCTTTTGTAGATCAAGCCAGTACTCACTCATTTGGGTCACAACTACTGACAATTCTGCTGTTTAAGGATAAAATATTAATGTGACTAATACAATGGCATCTCCCTCTCCATGGGTGTGTTTAATGCAGGATATGCCTAATTGTTTGAATTCTTCATATCCATTATTGCAGTCGGTGAGACGTTAGTGGAATGCACAGTTTACAGATGTAATTACTGGTACACGGTTTCACATCTGTGATTCAGAAGGGATACATACTGTATGTGATGTGGTTACACTCCTCTCTGTATCTCCTGCTATTTGAATTGACTTTTATATTGAAACAAAGAAGCTTGCACTATTTCAAGTACATTCAGGGAAAGGTCTTGATCTCAGACCCTATAATGGTATAATAGGCCCCTAAATAAATTACAAGAGTTAGAAATATGATCATTCCAAACTATGAATTCCTGTCAAATGAAAGGCATGTACAGTGTATTAGGAACATCAACACGCAAGACAACCAGGTTGGGCTCTAAAATAATTGTGCAAAAAGCAAAAAATATGCTGTCTTCTACTGTGGCAGGTTAAATGCTTACAGCAAACCCCTAGTTTGCTGTAAGCATTTAACCTGCTACAGTTGCCACCTCATCCCTTTAAAACGGAACACATTAATTACACAGGTTCTGGGGCTTATTTAATGCACATAAGGCACTAAGTGAGTTTAATTACCACCTCAATCAGCCACAGAACCTCTGTAATTAATATGTGTTTGGTTTTAAAGGGATGAGGTGGCAACCCTACAGCAAACCCCTACCTATAATTCTGTCCTCTCCTATACCTCCAAGAATGATGATATTGTAAGATTCCAGCTTTTTCATGAGATCTTTCTTCCCTTTGTCATATAGTGCATTATATAACACATGGTTCCTCCTACCCTGTTAGACCTTTTCAATTTAGTGCCAAGTGAGTGTTTGTTGCATAAGGTTTCATTATGTTTCAGAAATTGTCAGGGTTATGCAAGCTCAGGCACAGCAACAAGCTCCGTTACAGCCGATGATCATGTGGTCACATGGTTTGATTAGACATTACCTTGTAATGTTCTCAGTATGTGCATTTTTTAATGAAATTTAATTGTATTTAGAGGTAGAATTAACATTTAATGTAGCAAGACTAATGAAAGCTGTCATTTGTTTGCTATGGATTACTGAGCACCACTACGGTTTACACCAAGTTGTTAAAGTCCAGTTTCTTTACTACTGACTAATCTATTTGGGGTTTCATATGTAGTTACAGACGGTTCACACACAAGTAGCTTGGAATTCATATAGGGAATATTACACATTGAAAAGTCCTTGCAATACACTGGTTTGTTGCCTAAAGCATCTTTTAATTTTTCTTGGCCAATTGTAGTTCCAAGTACAAGACTCACCTTCTGCATCTGATGAAATCAATATAGATGGTCTTCCTCTGGAGATGTTCAATATTGAGTTGGATAAACACAAACTACACTTGCATGGTTTTTGGTTTTTTTCTTTTTGTTTTTTTCTTTTACTATAGGTAATCATCAGGATAGTAAAAATGAATGTATTTGTAGGGTATTTAGATTAATGTGCTGCATAGCAGTGAAAAAAAGCAATTTTTTACTACATTTAAGTGCATTTCAGGGGCTTGTAGTGCACGATAACATGTGTTTATCATACTTTTTTATCTTTTATTTTTTATTTATTTTTACTGTATTGCAACCCAAAAATCACAGAAAATGTGCATTTACCTGTGAAATCACGTTATTGCATGTGTAAAGATATTGGGAAACTGTTAAGGTGCCCACCGATAAATCAATAGTATAATTTTCTTTTTTTTATACTTTTTTATAATCTGATGGTTGTTCGCAGGGAAATTATTTATCCATAACATAAAATTGTGATTGAATTGAAAAGTAATTTTGTTGTGTATAGCCAGCATTAGTCAAGAAGAGCAATAAATTAAAAAATTGGGAAATTAAAAGGGACTAACTTCTGTCAGTTAATAGAAGTTGTCATTTTTAGATGAAAGGCAGTAGTACTTCATTGCCCCACTTCAAAGCGCATTAACAACCCCCCAACGATTGATTTATCAGTGTTGTAGCAGGCAGGTGTGTCAAAGCCGTTGATATTATCTAGCACAATACATTGCCCCTGTCTAAGGAAAGGGATGCAGAAGGTGCTATTGAGACCACATTTCAAGTAGTCACATAATTCACAGATGTGGGGTACCGAAGTTTCAGCCCCAGACAATCAGACGACACCACTGCGTAATGAAGGCCTCCGAGGCCAGACATGACTGGGTATGAGAAAAAAGGGCAACCTTTGCAGTTTATTGGGCCCACTTTAAAATGTTTAGCATTCCTGGCCATATTAGCTTGATTTTCCAAAGTCTGCTTGATCTCTCAACCTTGCTGTCTGGCAGGGATCAGAAAGTACATTAAAAGGAAGGAATCACTGCAGATGCTGGTATACTTGAAACCCTGGCAAGAGACACCCTTTAGTAACTGAGACCAATAATCCATCAACTGGTGAGGACATTTTCTGTTCATTTCTGTTCATTGCTGAAGTTGCTCTGGCTGTTCAGCATCTTAAATGCTCTGCCAACCAAGATCGAGGCTGTAGGCCAACAGCAGCATAAGCATTGCATATTCAGCACCCATGATTTACTTGACCGTCAAGCTTTCTTTTAAGAATCATACAGATGCCCCTTGGTTTGGGGATATGTCTCTAGTGAAATTATTTTGTTTTAGTAGTATTGATATATCATTTGTTTTGGGTTTTTTTTTTTTGGGGGGGGGGGGGTTGTTTTTTTTTTTTTTTTTTTTCAAATGTGACTGAAAATCCTGCACACTGAGGTATCTTATTACATGCCCGGTTGGTACATTCAGTCCTGCAAATGATCATATACCAATACCACGTTTATTTATCCTGTCACAGATGGTAAAAAAGAACTGATCTGTCCGTGATTGAGAGCTAAAATACATATACCTACTTTTTATGTTCTTTTTTTTTTTTTTTTTTTTTTTTTTTTTAAAGACATATGAAGTATTGTACCAGAGTATTAGTTGAAATGTAATATTTTATTGATGATTGCTATCCTTTAAAAGGAGTACTTTGAGATGTCATCAATCTGATGTGAATTGTGTAAATGTTAATGACAACCTCCGTGTTTATTACATTTACTGTTAAAACAGGAAAAAAAATAAGACTGAAGCATACATTATCATTGCCTTTTTTGACCACATCTATTGCAGATTATGTAATCCATGTACAATTGTCAGAAAATGTGACATTAAAGAATAGTTTATGGCTGGTTATAGAAATAACTGGTCTTTGTCATTTATTTGTGTATTGTCCTTACCAGTTTGATATTGGGCATCTTAAAGTGGAATTCCAGTCAAAAATGAAAATCTACTCTTGACTTGTATTTATAAAATATACAAACTTTAGAAAAACGCAGTATTGTAATTACTGAATGTCTGATTAGAAACAACAGTCTTCTTTGGACATTTAGCAGTTCTCCTGTGCTCAACCGATAAACCCTGATGTTCTGTCTGCATATCTAATTTCTTGATGCCCTAAAATGCCAGTACAGTAAAAAACACCCCATAATTACCCATTTTGGAAAGTAGACACTTCAATGTATTTAGTAAGAAGCAAGGTGGACTTGTATTTTTTGCTAC